CCCCCCCCCCCCCCACGGGGTATTCTTCTGTGGACCCGGAATCCACGGAAGAATAAGAAGACCCGGAATCCAAGGCCTGGAATCTAGAATCCAAGACCCGGGGGTACTTCCTTTATGACCTATACGTGGATGTATCGCTGGACAGGGACTGGTTTTCGTCCTCTCTGTCTTTTACAGGGTATATAATTTTGCGCCAGGCTGTCCTTAACAAGGTAATAAAATTGAGGCTTTTGTCCTAAACAGAGTAGGTATTTTAGGAATTTTCTTGTCCTAAACAGGGTCAGGGTTTCAAACCCTCAGTGGCTCACCTCTACCCAAATATTGGTCGAGTACTCCCCGGGATCCACGACTGTCTTGGATTGCATTACATTCTGCGATGTGGTTAGTCAGGTGGTGATTGGTCACCGATGCATTTTGAACCTCACTCATGGCTGGTGGATCGTTTTTTTTTCGTTCGTTCGTTCGTTCGTTCTTTCTTTCATGTTCTTTCATCTCTTTGTTTTCAGTTTGTGTAGCTTATTCATGAATTAAACGAAACACATTGATGGGCTTCTTCTACGGGATTAGAGATTAAAAAAACGTGGAAAAAGATATCTTAGTTGAGAGTCCCCGTGGGAAGCTGATCGGGACGGATCTTCTTTAATCCCTTTTCTACTTGGTAACCACACGGACCCAAATTTCTCTTTGTAAACACGAAGAAAAGTTGTTCCACTTTCTAGGACCTTCCTGGTGCTAAGATCTTCTTCCCTCCTTCTAAGTTAATCCAGACAATTCTACGTTTTTTTTAAACTGTGAAAGATGCTCCTGAAATAGCTTGAAATCTCCAGGAGGATGTCGTCTTATTTAAGTGGCATAAAAGTTACTTTCACTGAAAGTGTGTCCTTGAAGAAAAAGAGGGCATATCAACCATCAGTTCCTAGCCTTAAAAACATTCTTATGAAACACTGGCAACTAACAGAGAACCAACCTCCTCTTAGACAGATCTACAACGAACCTCCAAGAAGGTCTCTGAAGGATATACTCGTAAAAGCCAAACGCTGAGAATTAAAAACAAAGCGTGAGTCAGTCCGCGTGTCAACCCCTTATGGTATTTCCTCAAGCATTTTATTCTCAGTATGATTTCATTGATTGATCAGTAATAATCAATGAACTATGACCAAGAACCATAATGGGACACAATATGTAAACTATTATCTGACCATTTACCTATCTGCCTGGTTATCTGTATCACTATCTTATCTAATTAGCTATGTAACTACCTACAGACAGTCAGCCTCTCTAGTAGTTTAAGGCCTCGGTCTAATAGGTTTACCAAGAGGTTTACCTTTAGAAAATGATTTTATTGGCTATAACTTCGGCACAGATTATGGAACTGAATCAAAATTTGCCACACATAAAGAACTCATCGTTCTTAACATTTTAAAGTATAAATATTGTGTTTATAAGTCACGTGACAATTTTGCAAAAAATCTTAAATAATTGAGAAATCGGTGGCGGGTTTAGCAAAAAAAAAAATCGGGCAGTACCATTTTCCTCATTCATATTAGATATCTCTAACAATTCACGTTTGGAATGACCGTCCATTGCACTTTCATAAAAAATTATGAGGGAAAACATCATATAGAGTGCCCTTATTTAACTTGAAGTTATTGAAAGCTTTAATATTAAACTTCGCGTACATTCATTCCAAACGTTGAAAGTTAGGTAAGGTTATTTTCTATGAGAAAGGCCAATATATTTATCAAAGAAAAAGTAAACTCTCCACAAATTCGCCAATTTCCTTCATTTTCAATTTTTGGTCACGTGACATGTCATGTGACCATAATAACACGTAAAGGCGCGAGAAGACCTTAAGATTTACCTTTGGGCAAAATTTGATTTTGTTCTAGGTCTCCTAGCGAGAGATATTGTCATTCAGTCATATGCTTTGAACATACCTTTGACCCAGACCAGCTGTCTATCTCTCTGTTAAGCTCTACCTATCTACTTTTTCAGCGTACTTGATAATATATTCTTCATTTCCTGCTCTGATGATGAGAAGAACATCCACTTTACGGGTTTTTTTCTTACCATCTAGCTCTATCTTGTGCAGGTTTTTCCTGCCGGAGCTAACAACACCTTTTTCCGTTCCTTCCCTGACAAATGTATTAAAATATTCTTTTGGCAGGTTTGTCACAGATTTCTTTTAAGCAACCAGTAACATTTTTATGAGACTTAACATTTCTGCGCCGTTTCAAAATTACTTTAGGCACCCTTTTCAAAGGAGCTGATAAACATTTTGCTGCCTTTAGTTGACACCATCGGCTCAGTCTCTAGCCTTGGGTGTCTCCCGGGTGCACTGAAACACTTAAGGCTGGAGACTGAGCCTGTTGACACCAATGCTATTGCTAATCTTTCCTCTCAGTTCAACGCTTCCTTTTTGTGGTTTTAAAGCAAATTCATCCACCTGCCGTCTGTGGACTTCACGAACATTGTGCAAACCTTTTCCAAAACTACAAATACTGCAACTGGGTATGAAAAGCCGTATTCACTGACTACTGGTCTGCTGAAAGTTGTTGCAAACAATTTGCTACCACTCAGTCTTTCTCAACAACAAATTGGCTGTTATGCCTCTTTGTGTGTTGCCTTTTTGCGTGTTGGCTCTTTGCGTGATGCCTATTTGCGTGTTGCCTCTTTGAGTTATGCCTTTTTGCGTGTTGGCTCTTTGCGTGATGCCTCTTTGCGTGTTGCCTTTTAGTGTGATGCCTTTTCATGCGTGATACCTATAATATGATAGTGGCTTTTTTAAGTTCCTTTTAGTGTGGTCTTTTTTTTACCAACTTTGACTCGGTATATTTCAGATTTGACTTAACCCTTTTGACTTTTAGGTCATTGAATTTTGTCATAGATATGCCCTCATACGAATCCCCGAGACGTGAACACAGTACATCAAAACATCGTGGGCATCTATGCCACTTTTGCAACAATGTGTCCAAAATTCAATCTCAGTCCCTCTCCATCGATGTGGTTTTGGTGGGTAGAATATAATGCCGACCGAAGGAACACGTGACGACACAACAAAATGGCTGAAACCATGGATAATGCTGAAATAGAGCCAAAAGTTGTCGAGTGGGAAGAGGAAAAAGAGGAGGAGGCTGATGGTAGCCTAAAGGACACATGTGATAAGCTTACGAAAAATCAATACTACCACAATAGTATAATATCGGTGGAGAAAGTCCGTACCGTCCTGGATGCCACTCGCGAGGATATGGATGAGGCAGACAAGATAGAGTCCATTCAGACTGGGCTAAGCTCTTCGCTGACTAAAGATGATGCTATCATCCTAAATCATTATAGATCTGACTGGAAAACAGTCTTTGATGCTGTTGTTAAACTACGAGTGATGAAAGCGGATGGTAGAAAAACTGGAACTGGATTTTTAATACCAAGACCCCCAGAATACAACCCAGCCACAGCAAGTGATATCTTCGATAACTTCGCTGTGATGACAAATTTCCATGTTGTCAGACAAAGTAATGATCTCCCTTCGTTGGTACAACCCAATGATATTGCGGTGATTTTTTTCTACGATTGCAATCAACCTGATGATGTGGTGACGTGTAGGGTCTCGGAAATATCTCGTGCTTATTCCCCATCTGTGCCGGGGATACCTACCGGTGAGAAACTGGATTTTGCGATCCTGTATATCAAGCATCCTGACAATCAAGAAAAAAGGAGGAAATTAAAGGCTCTGAAACCACTAGGGTTTGAGGAATCCGGAAGGGTGCAAGCGGCAGACATACCACAAATTGCAGACACAAAACGTTTGTGTGTAATTGGACACCCTCATGGCGCCTATAAACAGATCGCATTTGGGGAACTGAAGACGGACACCAACAGCCTGTATCAAGGATGGAGGGAGGCATGCGAAGGGGATCTCCATTCTGTAGAGCACACTGTTGCCACCTGCAGTGGATCGTCTGGCTCACCAGTAATCTTGATTGGTTCGAAAGAAGGCAAACCTGAAGATAAAATTTTTGGTCTGACATTTGTTCCATTTCTTCATTTTCAAGGTAATTCAAAAACTGGAGATGCTGCTTCAATGCAAAGTATTATGCCTGCTTTAAGAGCGAGTCTTTCTCAATAATTATTAAGATGTTCTTGATGGTGATTTGGGACTGTTGTGGAATTTCCTCTGCAGTATTTAATTGTTATAATCAAGTCTTTCACTCACCTATTTTTCAAAAGGTGTTTCCATGTGTCACTTTACAGGTTTCTTTGAACATATTTTGCATTTCAAAGCCCCTTTTGAAGTGTTTACAGTGATGATGACGACAGTTTTATTTTACTTGTTTTGTTTAATTTTCCCTCTTACCATATTCTGAACTTTATTGTAAAAACATGACTTATCTTTTACAGCTAAACAGTTGTTACAATGATATCTGTAGTAAGAAATAAATGACAAAAATTAAAGAATAAGAAAAAGGAAAGGATTAAAAAATTTGCAGGCTTGTCAAGATTCGAACCTGGGATCCTTGGCTCTAGCCTGAATTTCAGATGATTACTTCAAGTCATTTTTTCTCCCTCAGTAACATCTGAATAGACCTGAGCTGTTAATGCCGTCCAGTGACGTCACTACTCCTTTGCTTTAATTCAGGCAAAAAGTAAAACACGATATTCAACTGGCAAACAAAGAAACATCGTCTGGAAATATCTATGCGATGTAGAATTGATATTGCTATACTCTTTTTGATTGTAATTCATGTTAAACGTTTAAACTGTCAACTGCATGCGATACTGAATGAATCTGTTGTAATTCAATAATCAAACAATGAAATCACGCAATGAAATTAAATAAGCTTGAATACACACACAGAGCACTTCAAAAACACAACTATTTGCTTGAATAGAAAAAAAGCTATTTGGTCCTTGACAAAGAAGAAAGAAAACAAGAAAGAAAAGCTAACAGAATCATTACACTTGACAGTGGAAATGACAAGGAGGTTGAATTATAACTTAAGCTTAAATCCCAGAAAACTTAGCACAAACCAAGTCACTGCCGAAACCACAAAGCGGCTCTAAATGAAAAACCTACTGACTCTCCACAATGATTCTTCATTCGTGGTTCAATAATTTGCCTGCGTGCAGACGTCTCCTCCTTTGTTGCACCAGCTTAAATTCAGGCTACTTGGTTCCTGTACAAGGTCACAAAGAGTTTGCAAAAATTTTTTCTTCGTATAAAACTGATGTCAACAAAGCAAAGGAGGTTTGTATCAAAACAGGGTCACCGTCAGCTTCACATTCACTCGAAGGCTAGGGTACTAAGTCCACAACTGTAAAACGGTCTATTTCAAAAATTCTCCTGGGGGCATGTCCTCAGACTCCCCACGTGGCCCTCACTCTAAAACTGTGTACTTTTGGCACTGTGTTCACACCTGTGGAGCTTCCAGAGAGCTCATGTCCACGTGTTTCACTTATGAGTGTGGCACTTTAAATGATACCAAAACCCTGCTGTACCACATCTGCCAGTTTGATCTGGATGATGTCACATCTATTACATATAGGTTAATAATTGAAGTTTTTATGCTTAAATATGAAATCTGATTGCTATTAAAAAAGGAAAGAAATGTATGTAGTGTAATTGACAGGTACTGGACCTAGTGCCAGAGTAGTTAGTTTTTCTTTCTTTTAATCATATTATGTAATTCACAAGTGTTTCCTCAGTGTACTTTAGTATAAATAAAAACTTTGGATTATATTTTCTGTCAAATAATTTTCTTCTGGATTAAAATTAATTGGACTAACATCTAAGTTCAACTTTTTAAGGAATTCAAAATGAAGAGAGGAGAGGAAAGGAGTAGGAAAACAAGAATCAACTGATATCAGAAAAGATTTAATGAGAAAGGCATTGACCACTGGAAAAATCGGCACACAATGAAATCAACAGTCTCTCACATATGGCCAAACATGTGCTCTAGTCACTTCTAGGTGGCATTTCAACAGATGTGTTGTATAAATCAAGGAAATGGCAACAATTTGAGTCTTCTTTTAACATTTTATTAAAAATTTCCCACATGACTAGCACCCTTGAGATGCTGAGAAGCCTTCAGAGAACAAGAACAGTGAAAGAGAGATAAAGACTGACTTGGCTTTAACTACATTGCCAAACTTACCAACATACATGTAGTTTTCAAGTTTACTTACAAACCATAAGATTACAAGTTCCATAAAAAAATGGATTCCTTCACTGTTTAACATTTGCAATGCAACCTCATGTGAGTTCATTTCTTACAAAAAGTAACAATGATGAAAATGTTGATTCCCTTAAGCAACCTCGACTAAAAGGTAAACATTTCAGTTGTTCCTTGAAGGAACTTCAGGCAATGCAGTTTATGTTGTTTTGTAACTCCTCAGTATCTTGTGCATTTAACTTGTGGGTGTTTTTCACCAATGTGCAGTGGACCTACAATCTTCCTTGAGAAATTGGGAAGATGAGGGACCGGCCTTTCCCTCTCCAATATTATTAACTCTTCTATAGTCAGAAGTTTATATGGCCTCTGCTTACAGGGTAATCTCTAAATCCACCTGTTACCCATTCCCAGTATTTTATTTTGGCAGGTTAAAAAAAATACACAACCATTACATACATGTATACCAATGTATATTTTGATTTCATAGTATTAATAGTTCAAGGTCCCTATCGAGACTGCAGAGAAACAGGAAGCAGGTTTGAAGGACTACAACAATAGCAGTTTATAATATGGATACTAGTTGTTTCAAAATCGGCAAGTTTATTATGGAGACACTACTTAGTGGCAAACAGTTACAGATTAAGAAACTGAATTTCCCTTTACAAAATCAATAACTTTTCACCTGCTATTCACTTTACTCACACCCTTACAGCAGAGCCTCATTTTGAGCAATAGAAAGATGGCTGAAGATGACCACCGCACAGGTTGTTGAAATGTCAGTCACTGTCAACAACAACAGTCCTATTCACCTGGATGATCAAACTCAACCTACTTTTGAAATGACTCCTGGGTTCAAACCTTTCACAGAAAGACTCTGCCAGCAGGGTGCTTTACTCACTGACAAGCTTTTAATTCATTTGATCATGATGGCTGCACTATGTTTCTTTCAAAATCATACAGACTGTGACTTCATGCCTTCAATGATTAGATCGAGAGCCACAAGAAATACAATGCCATCACTAGTTGCAAAACTCATAAAGTTACGGTGGTGAGTTTTGAAAGGCACATAAGCAGTGGAAGTGAAGCCATGCCATTAGAAAAAAAAAACGTTCACTCCTAGTCTAAATGTACAGTGACATGTATGTTATGGTGAAACTATTTGTTACTTTAACTTTTCTATCTGGGGATGAAATTCTGCGATGTTACCATTCAAATGAAACGTATACTATATGGCAGAACTTTTCTATAGAACTCTTTTCATTTCTTAGGAATTTACAAGTAAAAATTAGAGTTTTTGAGTGAATTTTTTGGACCACTATTAAGAAGTGACAGGTGAAACACCCCCAATCTTGTTCTTAAACTTATAGCTCTTATTACTCTTCTACTTTTTGTTTATTTTCCAATCAAAAAAGTTCAATTTTACTCTTCATTGTCTGCTGGCTTGTTTTCATCTCTTGAGTGTTTTAGCTTCTCTGTTAGGATCCCTGATTTTTTCTTTATGTCTCCTTTTCTCCACAAAACTATTTCCTTTAAGAGACAATCGCAGATGGATGATGTTAATACTGTGTGTATGCCCTGCTACATTGTAATTAAATACCTCTTTCATTGGCCCCTTTATCTTACACACCCCAGGCCACTAGGGGATTCCCTAGCTATCTTATCTATACAGTACATGTATTTATATTGAATTGTAACTGTAGAACTGTAGGCGAATGGAAGAAACTTTAAATTCCATTAAAAATAAATTTTCTGCATGACCAACTTTTCTTTATACCGATATCCATTCGCTCCTGTAAAGCAGTAGCCTGCCCCACAGACAAAACTAAACTCTGGTTAAGTCTGTCTGCAAAACAGCACCAAAATCCTTCTCCAGGCCCCTACCTGTGTACCAGGATTTGAGTACGTGCCATGATTGGCCTGTCAAAAAAACGCATTTCCAGTAATTTGTTGAGTCCATTGGGGGACCAGAACAAGGATCTCCGCACTGCTTTGCAAACGTTACTAACCAAGATTAAATTACGTGACACTGGCTAGTAAAGCAGTTGTCCCTTCTATACATCTTTTCAAGCAAAAAAGGGTTCTTTTACATCGAGAAAGCAGTGTTTGCACCGTACTGTATGTCATTGCATGGAACCATGAATAAGTATTCATTTACAGGTTAAACTGTTAACCCGGGATAAATTTACTGTTTGTGATCATGTATTGATAGAGAAATTAAATGCCACTAAAAGGGTTTCTAACTACTTAATAGCCAGGGAGAAAGAGATTTCAATATTTTTCAGGAATACAGGGTTCAAACAAAAAATTACAACCACTTTTTAAGAACTTTCCAAGGACTACATTCAATTTTCAAGGACCACCTACTAGGAATGTAATTTCACAGAATTGTACCAAAATGCACATTCCCAGTCCATTCTAATAGGACGTTTAAGGGTTGAACTGTTTGCTTCACCAACTTCTCTACATTTTTCAGTTCACTTGATTAAATTGATAGTTAATTCTTGCATAAAACAACAAATATAAGAGATAATAATTTATCAAAGAAAATTCAAGGACTTTTCAAGGACTCCCCCTGAAATTCAAGGCTTTTCGAGACTGTGCGAACCTAGGAATACCACAGTAGAAAATATGCTCCAGTGCCTATATATAAATACACCAGAAGCTGGTTATGCTGAAAATGGAAATGGAAATGCCATAATAATTTATGTAACACAAAAGACATGACAAACAAAGTCACAGGTTTAGAATGGAGGACATTATTATTTTAACAGTAATTTGCAGTCTGTGTTCTTTGAATTATAATGAAGTGTCATACCTGCTGCTTGAAGTATCTTCTTTCTTCTTCATCAACTAGCACAAGATTTAAGAAGTACCTCACAGAAAACTTTTTGTTGACATCTTTAAAAGTTGGTGTCAGTTCATAACCAGCGAGGAAAAGTCTGATAGGTATAGATTCTCCTAAAAGAAAAATTATAAAATAAAATCAATGTACGTACTGTAGCTGTTAGAAAAGAAAGACACATTCATGAAAGTGTGGCTAAAAAACCCTAGAGTGACTTTTGCTAAAGAGCTACATTGTTGTTACACTAACTCATATTATTTTTCCGTAAACAGAGAGTGAATTTGACTGTCTTTTTAGCATTGTACATGTAAGGCCATTTACATGTACACTGTACACAATGAAACCTAGGATTTCAAGTAGCCTCCGCCCTTAGCTTTGATGAACATATTACAAAAAATGTTTCATCATGTTTGCTTCAGTGGTAGTTTATATGAGATACATGTCAATAGGGTGAGACATCTTCACAACACCAGGACATTGGAGAAGGTCCTAAATACCTCAAGTGGTATTTTGCAGATTAGACTATTGTTCTCCAGTATGGTGGGCTTCACATTTGTAGTCTATAAATTTTCATGTGCAAGTGGTAATGCTTATGTTGACCGTGAAACCAGCAGACATTTCTCCACACAAGTGCAAAAGCGCTTACTTTCTGGCAGATTGTTTCTAGACATCTGCAGAGTTCAGAGTTTTGTCAAACATCCTGCACACTGGATTGCTTTGAGATCCTGGACTCTGCAGCTACTAAGTATCGAGTTAAGCTTAAGGAATCCTTGTCATAAAATGGGAGAAAACCAAGCTCAACCGGCAGGTGAAACACATAAACCTGACTCTCTCCCTGTACCTTGATGTCACTAATTGAAACTTTGAAGTAAATATGCAATAATATTATTGTCAATGCAATGTAACAAAGTTTGTAACATCGCATATAAATTAAATTCAACAGTAATTCCACCATAATTATGTAACACTCAAAATGATGGATACATGTACAGTCGAAACAAGTCTGGTAAATTTGTTAATGCAGCTATTACTCAAAGATTTAAAACCTTTTGATAAGAGATTAGTTTGGAGCCTGTCCAGCTAAGGAAAGGGTGCAAATATATTAGCTACCAAATCTCCATTTGCTCTAAGTAACAGCACTACCGCATTAGGAAAATCCCATTTATATTGTTGATCACAGCTACTGTAGGGTGTAAGGGGTTATGGGAAGCTTGAGAAATGATTCAGGGGCAATACCTCTGACTGGTGCTCCATCCATGATTTCATATTTGGCAATTGTTTCATTTTCATTGTAAGTATTGGGTCCTAAAGAAAACACAAATTAATGAATAAAAGAATGAATCACTATGGCCAATATTTGAATATGACATTTTCATAAGTTTAAACTTCTTTACACGATCAAGCTGTCTGGAAATTAACCAGTATGTTATAGACATTCAGTACTGAATGTTATCTAATAAATATTATTATAGTCATTATTGTATGATATATTTGTTATAGATCAAAATTAAATTAAGGTGAAATATTTTTTCACCTGGGCTGATTCTCAATTTCTCTTGTCTTGTAGCCCTAACTATTCGTGAATTATGGCTAGGAGACAAAGGAAACAGAGAATCAACCTAGGTTAAAAAATTTTAACCTGAATTTAATTTTGACCTGTGACATATGCACGAGTACTGTAGCTGAAGAACTACATACCGGTAACGATAATCACTCTGGGGAAAAGGGCTAATAACAAAGATGAAGGAGCATGGCTGCTAAGATTCATACATTGAACATCAACAGAAGAGATGACTCCTGTAAATTTTTCATTTTCTGTTACCATACACTGGTACACCTAATGTACATTGTACAACTTGACTTCCAACCGCAGTATTAGCTATACTATTAAATTAAGCAAAAGTAACTAGATCATCATAATAACAATAAAAGATCTACCTGTGCCAGTTGTTTCCCTTTTGATAATTGCTAACTCCATGTGTTTTATCTTGATCCGCACAAGAAGAAAATAAATCTTACCCACAATTACATCCTTCAAGTGATATCTGGATAAAAATTCACTTAAATTAGAACTTAGATGGACAAGCATTATTGAAGTAAAAATATTATTTATGATAAACATGTTAAAAATGGTTTGTAGAGAACCTGCTACGTATGTGTGAAAGTAAAGGAATGCATTAGAGTGAAACATTTTAACTTCAAGTTCAAGCAAAATTCAAGAACTACAAAAAAAGGCTGCACCACCTGAAGTATTATTGCAAGCAAAATGTTGATATGAAAACAAATCACTAATACTAAGCAAAAGGTATTTCAGAGACCTTTAAAAAATTGGCCAATATTCTGGAAGAGTCAACACCAAAGTGAGGCAATATCTTTAATTTCAGAAAATGCATGTACCAAGTACAACATACCAGCATGTTTAGTGCCTTCATTGGTAGTACAGTGTACAGTGTTTGACAAGAACAATTAGTAAAAGCAATAGTGTCTTCATTGCAGCAAGCCAAACCAAGAAAATGATGTACATGTACAATGTAACAGCAATCACATGCCAGCTGCATAAACATCTGCTGTTACTTGATCTTACTTTGACTTGTTGTATTCAAATTCTATATGCAAACAATCTTCAATTCCAACTTCCATCTTGATGCTAAAAGAAACAACACCATAATTAATGATCTATATTAAAATGATTTCATCCTACATGTATTGAATTGCATATTGCTATTTTTAATATCCACAATAATATCTTGCAAGCTAGCACTTATGCACAAGCATCAGAATAATCGAAATGAACAGAATCATCAGAATGGAAAACGTAAGCCGTTGAAAAAGAACCTGAAAATATTCAAGCCTAAATGCTTCCGAGTTCTTTTTCAACCACTCACATATATGAAAATGAAATGATCAGTCACAAGAGTGGGACAAAGAAAAAATCCCCAACCGGACTCAAACCTACATGTATGACCTCCCAAGCACCGGGCGGGCACTCTGTCCACCTTGAGCAACGGAGAACTCATATATTGGCTTAGAACCTTTCTTTTTGTTATCTATTTTAATTAGTACCTGTTATTCATCTCAGGGAAGCTTGATAGAGTGTGGACTGCAAGATCTAACTCTTTAGAGATGTCACTGATTCGCCTGATGATGGAGACTCGCAGGAAATACCTAAAGATAGTGCAAAATCAAAGAATGACTATAAGTGAATAGGGGGTTACAAAATTCATTAATATCATTACAATAAGCAAAGACACTATTTCAATGTACATAAGGTAGCGTTTCATACACCATTTCAATGACCATTTCAACACATAGAGCATATTTACAATTTTTCTACAACTTTAGCAGGGCTGTCACTCACATTGAAATGTAAATTGTAAACTAGAATATTTTCTAGTTGCCTGGTCAGCAATTACATAGGCAGGGACTTATACAACTAGGAAGTTATTTTGGTTCCAAATTCCCTTAGTTCTTATAAGAGAAGACAGGGTCAGGGAAAATCTCCCAGCTCTTAGTGACCATCCTGTTTGATGTAGATGTAAATGTAGGATCTTGCTTCTCAAGCATTGCAGAAAGTACAACAACGACAGGTGCAGATCTAGAATAACTCCTGATTGACATGCTGAGCGAGCACCAGAAGGGCAAGCATTCATTCAAACAGGATATTTACTGAGTGTCCAAACCATTTTCCAGCTTTCAACTTGGAAAGTCTTGTTTTTTCCTACAAATGTATTTATTAGAAAAAATCTGACCAATTTCCGTGAAACAGTGGAAACTGGTATGCATCCATACCTGAACGATCTAATTAATTTTGCAGTAAATGTTACATGTCCATTTCATGGCGTGTCCCACTATTGACTAAGCAATGTCTGATTTAACTTGTCTTGCCATGGTGCAAGACAAGTTGCACAAACATTAGCAAAAGTTACATGTACCTTAGCAGTGCCTCAAATGAGATGACATATCCCTAGTAAAAGGGTACAACTCACCTTAACCTGACATTTGCTCCTGTGTAAGTTTCATAAGGCTTCTCCACATTGACAAACTCAAAATCATAATTTGTACTCTGTGTCAACTCTCCAGGGGGTGCCAAATCTCTTACTAATGATGTGAATTCATGATGATTACCACGGTCATAAAAAAGTTCTGAAAATAGAGAGAATAATGATAGCAGACTTTAAAAATATATTATATTTCATACCAAATGTTTCTGAAATGTAGCTGTGACATCTTCAGGTCATTAAATGCCAAAGGCCCATTTCTTTAAAGTCCCCACCTGGTAATTTTTTTAGGCATAGCCATTTTATGCGCACAATGTTTGTCTCAAAGATTCACCATTGAATGTCAGGTAATAAAAATTCTTCTTATTTATTTTTTACTATTAATAAAAAAAATACAGGTATATCCTTCATTTTTGTTCTGGACCAAAACTCATTCCAGAACTTTGTACATTTATCANGATGACATATCCCTAGTAAAAGGGTACAACTCACCTTAACCTGACATTTGCTCCTGTGTAAGTTTCATAAGGCTTCTCCACATTGACAAACTCAAAATCATAATTTGTACTCTGTGTCAACTCTCCAGGGGGTGCCAAATCTCTTACTAATGATGTGAATTCATGATGATTACCACGGTCATAAAAAAGTTCTGAAAATAGAGAGAATAATGATAGCAGACTTTAAAAATATATTATATTTCATACCAAATGTTTCTGAAATGTAGCTGTGACATCTTCAGGTCATTAAATGCCAAAGGCCCATTTCTTTAAAGTCCCCACCTGGTAATTTTTTTAGGCATAGCCATTTTATGCGCACAATGTTTGTCTCAAAGATTCACCATTGAATGTCAGGTAATAAAAATTCTTCTTATTTATTTTTTACTATTAATAAAAAAAATACAGGTATATCCTTCATTTTTGTTCTGGACCAAAACTCATTCCAGAACTTTGTACATTTATCAGGGCTCAAAGTTAGCGACTAACTGATCACATATGCGACTGGATTTTTGGTTGTGCGCCTAAAGATTCATGTGTAATCATCGCACCTGTGCGCCGTAACACCCAAAGCACAGTGTGACTGACTTACTTCCGACTATACTTACGAACTCGAACTAGAAAGACGGTATATGTTTAATTGGTCTTTTCTCCCAATGGATTCTACAAACTCGAATGTTCTTTTTCGTTTTGATGTTTTACTCCATCCCAGACTCTTCTGTTTAGGTAATAAACACCGCTGACACATGCAAATATATGCTACGAACGAAATACATACTTTTTGCCCAATGGACGCTCATGTCGAACGTTCAGTTTTAACGTCAATCAAAACAAAAACAGTGCAGATTAAAAGCCTTTTTTTCCAGCTAAGAAAGTTTTTTTTAAGTCATATTTCAGTTACATGTAAGTCAATGCGCATTTAACAAATTCATTAAAGATTAATTTTCATTCTCGTTCGACACACTCATTGTTATCAGTTTTGAATTGTTTTTCAAGTGTAAGTTTTCTTTAGTCACAACTGTACTGTCAAAAAGAGAAAATAATTAGTATTAAAAATCACAACAGTATTACTGCATAGCAAATCGACTGTGTTTTGTCAATCACAGGACTGAAGTAAAGTAACAAACTGAAGATGACAAATAAATGTGGCACTGTTAAACTTTTTACTTTTTCTTTTGAAATAGATGCTCCCAACATTATAAGCTGTGCTCCTAAAATTTTCAGCTGTGCGCCTAAAATTTCGGCAGTGCGCCTAAAAACTTACATCTGGCAGCACAAGACTTAGTGCTCCCAAACTCAGATTTAAACTTTGAGCCCTGTTTATAAAGTGCATCCCTGTATACAGGCCTAAAACCTTCCAGGACTTTCAACAAATTAATGAACCCACTATGACAAAGTGCCATTGAACATACAGCAGCCTCAATTAAAAAAATCACACAATGTTGCATCAGTGTAACAAAATAACATACACACAATCTCTGCATACCTATCTGTCCGACAAACTCAATTTTAATTCCATGGTGTTCCAGTTTCTTTCCAGGAACTTTCAGCTTTACATTCACCTTTTCAATAAAAGAGAACAACAATATCACAAATTAAATAATTGTAATGAGAAGTATTCTACACTAAGCCTTAATTCATCAGTCTGGTTCAGAAATACAACATAGTATTATTTCACTGGGACAAAAGCATAATTTGTAGAAATCATATCAGACTGTCCAACCTTTTGGGTAAATAAAGAGGGTATGTAAAATCAAGATACTTTTTAACCACCAACAAATCACACAAGCGCTAAAGGTGTGAGCTGCTAGAGGGGTCTTGCTAAATCGATTGCCATACTTTTGCTTATTTTAGTACTTGATTTTATTGTAAATTTCATACATTTTTTATGATTTCTAGCTATTAGTTTCAGTTAAGACAGTAACTCTGTGAGTCTAGGTGTTCTTGTATAAGTATCATAAGAATTCATTTGAAAATATAAAAACAGATATCAAAATCAGGATTTTTCCTATCGCAACTGCAGATTGGTTGGGATTTGGGGTTTACAAGCAAAATCGGGAGAATTCTTATGAAATCAAAATGGTGTGACAGTCTGCATTAAATGAACAATTTATGTTAATGACATGTTTCTGGACACCACTGAGTAAAGCACTTAAAAACTAAGGGCCAGGACATACATATAAGAGGACATAATTACTGCAGGGACATTAGCAAGGACACATTGCAGGAACAAGAAGATATCCATGCAGCCTGGGAGGATAGCACTGCTGATGCTTCATGCAAATGCAACTTGTTTCTTTTTTTCATCTGGACTTTCTTTTACTGGTATTTGTTTATTTGATACTCTCTGTAAAGCCCTAATTGGGGCATCTACACCTGTAACTGTCTTTGTAACCGATATGGTGGGTAACTGATCAAAATTAACATAACAAAATAACTGCTGGGGCATTTGCCCAGTGGGGGCAGGGGGAATGGGTGTTCTTGGAATAATGACACCTTTAACAACAAATGTTAAATCCACAAATAAATGTAAGTTTAACTAGTACACCATAATATCCTTCTTGTTTACATCAGGCCCTACCAGGGGGGGTCCCATGTAGCTCGTCTGAATTTTAAAAAGCCTTGTGTGGGTGTTTATAAATGCTTCACGTCACTGTCGGAAATTAAATGAAAATTCTTTGCCTTTGTCGGAATTTTAGAAAAGGGGGATAGCGATGCGCTGTGAAGAAACCATTACAGTTCTGCCATTTCTCAGTTAACATTTCACATATCAAACACCTATACATTGCCATTCCACAGTTAACACAATTCACAGGAGGGTGACCACTGAAGCTCATTGACAAGAGATGTACAGCGCAAGGAAAATTGATGAAAATTACTTCTTCTTGGCATTCAGACTGGTGATAATAAGCCAAGCCACCATCCTTTGTCGCTTATTCTCGGCTTTGCCGTCACTGTCGCAATTTGGCCAAAGGAGGTTGTCTCTTGTCGTGATTTCATTTTACGTTCTGTCACTACTTTTTGGGTCATGTCGCTTGTCAGAATTTACCCTGGCAGGGCCTCTTACATGAAATTGCTAATCCAAGTAATTTGACACTGCATTATGTAGAAATTAAACATACCACGATTTGCAAAGTAGTAAAATGTCAGCCTGCCTACACTACATGTACGCTTACATAAAATGGATTTTAAGGTTTAGCAACTTCCAAGTCGATCTGTAAACATTACATGTTGTATGTCTGCCTTCTGTCAACGCAGGATTGCTGTCAAATGGCTGGTGCGCGGATTGAAATCTTTACGTGTGTGCACAGCGATTATTTGCACCAATTTACCTTCATTTTTAGGCCAAGAATTTGTGCGCCATTCCAATTGTAACCATGGAATAACCAAATACGTAAATCACAATGATCAGATCTCAATACTACTAATTAATAGAACTCGGTACCTTCCCAGAAACAGTTTCTCCGTCGTAGAAAAGAAACAATTTCTCCTTCTTTCCGTCTTCATTCTTAACGTCCACTTGCTTACGAGTTGCCGAGTTTGCGAGCTCTACTTCTAGCTCGGCAGACTGACCAAATCCAAAGAAACTCTACAGAGAGAAAGAAGAAGTAGTAAGGTTTATCCTTCTGAGCAATGCTGATGCAAATTCGAGCTGTAATTGGCGGTACACACCATCTTGAAACTGCGACAACTACACCAGACACTATTTCCAAGATGGCCTTCTTCTCTCCAGCTAGCCTCGTTCTCAAGAGAGAAGCGCGTGATCCCAATCCAAGCCGACCGAGCGAGCCGGGGGTAGACTAAGGATAGTACTTTTCGGGAATTACTTTTCGGGTAGGTGTCAGGTTTTCAAAGCCTGGCTGAATAGAATTTTCATAGGTTTCAGACGTTTCGTACTTTTGTATATGTTTACCTACCGAAAACTAAAAACATTGCCTGTGTCTGTGTCGGCCTTTCAGGGAAATCTCTACTCTTAAAAACTGTGCAACACTGGACACACTGTGAAAGTTAAAGTTTCGTTGAACCTTATTCCTCCCTTGAATGTATTAGATCGCGCGGCGAAGCCATAAGCCAGAGCTTGTCATCGACCTCCATCGGAAATCGGTCAGCTCTGCAGGCTATTAAAGCACATTTGGATTTTTTTCCCACTGATTTTTCATTATTTCCATTTCTTTGCGAGTTATGGTAGGTCACGACGAGGTGGCCGAGTGGTTAAGGCGTTGGACTGCTAATCCAATGTGCTCTGCACGCGTGGGTTCGAATCCCATCCTCGTCGAAATTTTTAGCAAAATTTAAAACTGAGTCCAATGGTTCAAGAACTGAAAAATGACACATAACAGTACTCAGTCTCAATTCAAGGTCAAGAAAGGGTAAAGAAAGGAAGGATCCTCTCTTTAGAAACCCAAGTGGGGCGGGAGCAGGGGTTACCGATCTGTTTCTTTTTCATCTACAATCAATCAATCAATCAATCAATCAATCAATCATTTATTTATTTTAACACGTTACGTCAAAGAGCTAAAAAACTCGTTCAAAATACGAACGTGTATAATTAAAATCTATAATCATTACAGCTATATAATATTATTCAATTTTAAAAACAACTCAACAAATAAATACGAGGTGCTAAGGCTGCTAAGAACTTAGAAATATTTTGAGTGAATAATAAAACAATTACTGAATACAGCTTTTGTATGATATGAAGAATTGTTCAGATTTCGGAGGCTGTTATCCACATCGGCCTTCGGTCTCTCAATCTTCATATCATTTTTCACACCGCCCACAGGCAGCCCAAGCTCAAAATGAGAGTTTAATCATTAATACATGTGGTTTCATTTGCGTAATTCTTAAAATGGCCGTGAATATAAAAGATTTGTATGGGAATTCAGGTAAAAGATTCAAGTAGATAAGTTGAAAGTTTTGCTGCTCTGCGTGAAAAGTTGTTTGCCGGCCGCTGCACAAGATGGCGTTGGGCTCGGATAAGAAAAAAATCGATTGGCTTTTAAATGGTATTTCTACTGCTGATTTTCAAATTAACGTTACAGGGGCACCCAACGTCAATTTTCGGAAAATATCTGTTCGGAAGACGATTTGAGATCTAGATTTTTCGGAACATTTGTTGTAAAATTTCTTGCTTGCCTGCCTCTCCTAGGATTTTCGAACATCTAAAAATGGTATAATTGCCCATTTTTAACAGATTTTTACCCTAAAAAGGTCACCTAGAATTTTCGGGAGCCTTTTCTCTGGCTGAAATTTTCGAAAAGGTAAGTTTTGATCCCTACAGTTTTCGGATCACTAGACTTTCAGCTAGGAAATCCGAACAGATGAAACATTTGTAGGGGATTAAAATATGCCTATATCTACCGTTTAAATACTAAAATAAGTTTAACAATGCTATGTTTAAGTGGTTTTGAACTATATTCTCGTTGGGTGCCCCTGACGTTAGTTTGTTTCAGCTTGTCCAGTCATTTATTTCGCTATCAAATTGCTTTTGTTAGTTGCTTTTTTTTTGTTTTTATCCTTTCGCTTTTTTATGTGTCGGTGTGTTCGATCTCGACGTGCATTTGTATTTTTAAAAAAATTGAATGTAAACAGCGTAAGCCCTCTAGATGAGTCAGGCTCTTTGAGCAAACGTTCACATAAATATTGTTTATAAACAAAACTGAGATAAAAAAACGTTAGAGTTTTCAATAAGATACAGGTTACGTTATTTAGTTTACTTGAAAGCAAAGACAAGTAAAGTAAATAAGCTGTATTTTAACTGAATTGTCATACAAATCCTTTATATTCACGGCGATTTTAAGGATTACGCAATATGAAACCACATGTATGATGATTAAACTCTCTCGTACTGAGCTTGGGCTGCCTGTGCACCGCCATGGCGCGAAGGGTTGGTTTCTAAAGAGGGGATTGTGACCGATTGTGGGGTATGTGTGGTTCAGGGCGGAGCTGAAGAATTTTTGGCTCTAGATTTTTGCGAGTTTCTGTCACGGTGTTGCCTTGTTGATGAGAGAGACCACAGGACCGGNTTGCCTTGTTGATGAGAGAGACCACAGGACCGGGTTGTTCAAAGCAGGGTTAAGATAACCCTGGGTTAGTGCAAAATTTCAATTCAGAGTATGAAAGCTTAAAAAGCAAATTCAATATTATTGTTTTTGCCCACAATTTGATGATTGGATGCTCTCAAAAGGGTCGAGAAAATTATCTGGGAAAATGTTTTTGAACAAAAGACAAAGAATCCCAGGTTAAAATTTAACCCCGAGTTAGCGCTAATCGGCCTTCGAACAACTTGGTCCAGATTGCAAGTTTTGACTGTAATGATTGGCGGGATTAAAATGATGAACCATGCACTTGTTCCGATGTATCTATGTAATTTTTTCAGTATCTCGAAGACTTTTACGGAAACGGTGGCCAAATATTCGCCTATGTACAACTGTTTACATAGCGTATATAGCTGATTCAACTAATTATTCTTGTTTCTGAAGTTACCATGTTCCATCGAAAAGTAAGGTCCTAGACTAGGGGAGCTTAACATTAACAAATATGGATAAACGGTATTCCGATAAGAAGCTTCAGAAACTATGAGTGGTCATTTAAGTCGAAACATTTTTTACTCTTTATCATAGCCAGCATTCTGTATTCCAGGCATTCGGATTGCGAAGGGCGGCGCGAAGTCAGAGAGCGGTACACCCCTAGCTGTTTTTCTTGCTCACATCTCTTTGCGAAATCCCCACAATCTGAACGCCTATAACAGGGTTAAGGCTTCGTAACTTGCATTTTTTTTCCGGCGAGCGAACAAGTAGCGGCAAACTGAAAACGAAGGCGCGTGCGAATCGAACAAGCCGCAAAGCGTTTCTCGCTGTCCCCGCCCCTCGCCGATCGCTCGCACTCTTCCAGGGTTCGTCCCCTTTCTTAAACAAAAAAAAATTAAGGACTTTTCAAGGACACATTTCTCATTTTTCACGGACTCCATTTAGTGCAAAAAAGGGCCTTGACTCTATGTCTTTTTTATTTCTTCCACAACATGAGTAATTTTATCCCGAAGGTCTTTCTGTGTTTGCTCCTTCTTCTTTGGAGTTCTACTTTGCATTGAAATTCAAGGACTTTCCAGCACCGACTGCAATTTTCAAGGACTTTCAAGGTGCGTGCGAACCCTACTCTTCCCTCCATTGCCCTTCGCCAGCCAAACCATTAGTTACGTAGTCTAATTTTCAGACTCTCCATGGTTACATTTTATAGCGGGTCTTTCTCTAACAAGGTCACATTTAAAAACTGTATTGTTTAAGTAAATGGGCTGGTAAGCATACCAATTGTACCAATCTAAAATTGGCGATTGAACAAACCTTGACCTTTTGTACTAGCCTTGCACAATAGAGACTTAAATTCTAAGACGAGTACGACTACAAGAACGAGATGTTCTTAATACTTTAAGTCATGTTACAATAGTATGTGCGCGTGAATCAGGGTCGCTTTGGCGAAAAAAAGTGAGAGCCGTCGTCATTTCAGTACGAGTTTTAGGGAGAATGTCGCAGTAGCAGAAAGAAGTTATCAAATGTTAGAAGTTTTATCATTTTGTCTTTGAGAGCGCTTAAACGTCTATACCTCCTTCAATAAAAATAACCATGCCAAATTTTCTGGTACAAAAAGTAAAACGAAGCTTTCCGGGATTTTTTTCTTTATCCCTTGTTGAAGGAGTTCCTACCCTGGGTACCAAAAGGTTTTTCTCGCGTGTGGTGAGAATCTTCGGTGTTGGCCGAAGGCCGACACATCTTCGGCCATAGGCCGAAGCCACGAGCGGGCCACTAT